TCTGACTGAACAACAGGTAAAATGGCGAGAGCTGGCCAAGTTCAGAAATAAGAACGAATACGTACTCAATAATAAATTTGCCTTGAAAAACTATATACATTACAAATATTAATAATATTATAAGTAAATACCTACCACGAACCTGTTTGCGTGCCAAAGTCAAGATATTGCTTGTATGGCTGCTATTTGCATATACTTTAGCTGCTTCAAATACAGTAGCGTGTCTGCAGCTACGCTTTTCTACCGGGAATGACCAGACCTCAATTGTTATGGTCGGTTAAGCTATGTTGCAAAGGCTTATGGGTAGATAGGGCATAGGGGAAAAAGCGGGAAATACAAATTAGAAGGTACAAGTGTAATAGTGATTGTTACTCACCTCCCCCTTTAATTAAAAAATGGTAATATTTTTTGAAACAACAATCACTATCAACTTGCCTTAACAGTTTTGAAATAACTGAACGTATTTACAAAATTCTGAATACAAACCTGACTAATTTGACCTTAGCTGATTATTGGCGACTAAGGTAACCGGCACCAACGTTTTTGCTTCCCTTTATGGTTTCTATCTGGAACCGATAATGTTGTAATTGTAGAGCCCAGCGCATTAACCTCGAGTTCTCTGTTTTGGACTTGTTAAGGTATGTTAATGGCTGATGGTCGGTTTCCAATACAAACTCACGTCCATATAGATAGTGATGGAACTTTTGAATTCCCCATACTACTGCTAAGCTTTCCTTCTCTATACCAGCATATGACTTTTCTCTGGATTGCAGTTTCATGCTTGCGTATGCCACTGGGAGCTTCTCTCCATGTTCCTCCTGCAAAAGAACTGCTCCTAACCTGTCATCAGCAGCATCTGTTTGTAATATGAATACTTCACTGAAGTCTGGAAGCTTCAGAATTGGTTCTGAGCATAACATCTGTTTCAGCTTATCGAATGCTTTGTTAGGTGACCTTTCTTTGTTAAATCTGATAGTGGAACGGCAATGGCTGAATTTTTCTGTAGAATCCTGCAAATCCCAAGAACGATCATTCCTTCTTCTTTGTCATGGGTACTGGTGCATTTCGAATAGCTTCTATCTTGTTTTGCTCTGGTTTTAGTCTCTGGTCACCTACTACGTGTCCTAAACAGTCTATCTGATCATATCCTATGAAACACTAATACGGAAGTGCGGCAAGTCCTGCTTACCTAAGTCTGGTAAATAACTCTCCCAATGCCATCAGACGTTCTTCCCAGGTATCTGAGTATACGATTATATCCTCTATGAAGTTATCAACACCTACCATGCCGTGTTGAAGTTTCCTCATGAGTCGGCTATACGTCGCCGGGGCATTAACTAACTCGAATGGCATAGTAAGAAATTGATACAAACCAGAGGGTGTTGAAAAGGCTGTGAGAGCTTTACTGTCATCTTCCATAGGAACTTGCCAGTATCCTTTACTCAAATCCAATTTCGAGACGACCTACACTTTCCCTTCCATCTTTGAAAATATACTTTGTGTGTTCGGCATAGGTTCGGCGTCAAAGACTGTGACAGAGTTTAGTCTACGAAAGTCTATGCAAAATCTGTTTGATCCGTCCTTTTTCCTGGCTATGACTATCGGTGATGAATATGGTGAAACAGATGGTTCTATTACATTCAACTGTAACATCTTCTCTACTTCTTCCTTTATGACGCTCTCGGTATTGAAAGGAATAGGATACTGCTTCACACGTATAGGATCTGATTAAGTCAGTTCATTCTTATGCTTAACTAGTGTAGTCATTCCTGGAACGTCAGTGAAAACATCAGCATACGACTCACACAAACATTTCACCGATTCTAGCTTATCTGCATCCAGTCCTTCATTGAAACGTACATCTGACACTGTTTGCGTCTGAGTATCTGTTGGTAGCATCATTGAATTCTGCTCATCCAGTACTCCCTCTTCGCTGAAGTCAATTAGTGATATGGCGCAAGTTGTAAGAACCTCACAGTGTATTTCCTCATGCGGAATGTACTTTTTCAACAAATTGGCGTGAAGTGTTCTCAGTTTACCTTGCATCTCAACTTTTAATCCATATCACCAACGTTCTGTACAACTTTGTAAGGTCCACACCATTGCATCAGAAGTTTATTTGATTTTGTCGGAAGAAGAACAAGTACTTGCTCACCAACTTTCATCCTTCGATCACTTGTTCTCTTGTGCTTCCTCGCTTTTTCCAATAGTTGATGAGCAATCTTGCAAGTCTCTTCAAGTTTTTCCTTTAAATCTGGAATACTAGTATATTGGTATGTAGTCTTCACCTCTTTGTTTGGTATGTCCTTGGTCCAAAGTTCCATCATTGGGCCACACACCGATCGACCACATAGAAGCTCAAAGGGTGAAAATCCAAGGCTCTCTTGAGGTATCTCACGATAAGCAAATAGAAGTGCGTTGAGGTACTTGTCCCAATCTTTAGGGCGTTCAGCAGACATGCACTTGAGCATCTGCTTCAACGTTCTGTTGAATTTTTCAACAAGGCCGTTGCACATCGGATGATATGGCGTTGTAGTTAGGCGTTTGAGTGACAGCATTTGGCTAACTTCTTTCATAACTTCAGATGTAAACTGTGAACCCTGGTCTGTAAACATTTCAGATGGAATACCAATTCTACTGAAAACGGCTACAAGTGCTTCTGCAACTCATTCAGTTTCAATTCCTTGCAGTGCCACAGCTTCTGGTTACCTGGTGGCATAGTCTTTAATAGTGAGGATATATCCATTTCCTCTGTCTGTGACTGGCTGGAGCGGACCAACAATATCCACAGCAATGCGTTGAAAAGGTTCTGATATCATGGGCATTGTCCAAGAGTAACTGCAGGTACTTTTCCCTTAGGTATTGTTCGTTGGCACAAGTCACATGAACGACAAAATCACCTGACATCTGCTTGTACTCCAGGCCACAAGAATTCGGCTAGTATTCTGTCTGTGGTCTTCTAAACACCCAAGTGTCCTGCCTAAAGACATTCATGAGCCATCTTCATCTACTCTACTTCTTCGGAACCATAAGCTGTCGATAAGTCTTTCCATTTGACACCCTTGGACTACTGAATTCTCTGTAGAGTAATTGCTTCCGTATAGAGATCCTGGTTGAACCTCCATCACTGAGCTCCTTTACTGTCCCTTGTTTAGCAAAGTCCCAACTCTTGCTTGATGAATCATCCCTCATCTGTTCACTTAACATCTCATCCCGTGATACATCTTGTAGAGTTTCAGGAACCCTCAATGGTTTATAAGGTAACTGCTTTTTCTTAAGTTGACTGCGTGTCTCAACAGCAAATGAAGGTTTAGTTGATTTCATCTAGTGAATATCCGGGTTGTCTGGTTTCCAAACGCCATCAAAATTCCCAAGAATGAGATCAAACATTGGTGTTTCAAAGCACGATACTTCAATTGTTCCAGTTAAATATGGCGTGTCAACTTCATCTATCGCAACATCTGCATCCATTATACTTCCGTATAATGCATTTGTGAGCTTCTCCAGTCATTTGGTTTGATGTAACCAATCTTTTCCGAATCACCGCACCACGACATCCAGTATCTCTTAACACTGTCACAAGTTTGTCTCTTGCACATCCTTTCACAACTGGCATCACATCATCAGAAACGGAATCAATGTCACTTTGTAGCCATGGTTTATGTGCACCAACAAAAAAAGAATCATGTTCTTTTCCCTGTGAAAAGCGACGTCCAGATCTGTGGAAGCTCTGTTGTTGCTCAATAAAGCGGGATGGTTTTTGTGGTCTGTCAGATTTTTCCCGAGTGTATGCTGTCTTGGTTGCGGAAGATTTCCTTAAAAGGCAATCAAACTGCTTGTGTCCATATCTGTCACAATTAAAACACGACTCCTCCACAGGGTTTGCTACTGTCACTAGTGCTTGGAAAAGAGAATTGCTTTCCTATGGAAACTTTCTTGTCGAAGATAGGTCTCTGGGTAACAGCTGATTAACTAGTTGTTCTTGCCTCAACATACTGATCAGCATATCGTGCCATATATTGAATAAAAAGAAGGTGGAATTGTTCTTTCAAGAATAAGCCTTAGGAAAGTTCTTTGTTACAACACAAAATAAATTGTTCCCGTAACATCAAGTCTTCGAGTCCTTCATACGTCTTATTTACTTTAGATAACTCCATCCACCTCGTTCAAATTATCATTATCACCTTTTTCATTCTTACAGATAGAATATCAGAAGTCGGTTATCCAAGTCGGTTACCCAACCCAGTGGTATGAGAAGGCGGACTCTTTGATATATAACCATCTAAATTGTGCTATGTATAAAAATAATTTTTTCAAACTCAACTAGTTTATTAAAGAAGTTTATGGTCACTAATTTCTTAGAAAGTTGTGTACATAAATACATGTATTCTGTGTATATCACAGCGATCAAACGCACTCGGGTCCCTTTTGAAATTTTCGTTTACTTCTTCCGTATTTCTATATAGCTTTTTTAACTATGTTCTAAAGGTCATAATACAAAATTTGGTCGGTAACACTTACACGTACCAAAGTTTTAAAAAGTGGAATCTAAGCAACTTAAGATAATTATTTGAAAATGATCAGATCTTTGCAATAGACGGAGGGCATACGTATTAGCCATAAATCAGGTTATCTGAAACTTAAAGATTTCATCGATTGTAGCAAATTTCATGCACCATGCTTTGTTACAATTGAAATAGCAGTATAAAGATACAAGGTCCATCAAAACAAATTCAATTTTAATCAAAGGTTTATTTAAGGATTTTTAAAAATGGAACTTATTATAATTTTTACTTTCTTTTTAAACACATACTGAAATGTCTGCGCATTTTTATTGTAGTAAATAACGCATCACTAAACAAACAATAAAGTATGTACATACATGTATATGTGACACAGTTTACAGATTATCAGCAAATTATATCTGATTATTCAAAATTGTCACAAATATATTTGTATAACTGGAAAGCACCTTTTAAAAACTGAAAAGTGTTTCTTTCTCATTTTTTGGATTTGGTGGAGTCAGAAATTTTGCGGTGGACGGTTGATTTAAGAACTGTTTTCCCGTTAGAAAGTCCACTTTTTGTAGAACTTGCGGATGTTGCACTACTTTCCCGTTTTTGTTTGTATTCTGTGTGTGTCACTTTTCCGTTTATTTTAGGGTTCTCAGTCACGCTTTTCTTTTTTAGTTTAGGCGTTCCTTCCGGTGAACTCTTCACTGAATCCTCTTCATCATCTTGATGTTCCTCTTCTCTTTCTTCTAAGGCCGGAGTCAGTTTTCCTGTTTTCTTATTGATATTCAGATCTTCAAATTCGTGTGATTTTCGCCTTCCTCTTTGTTTGGCTTTCTTTTTGGCTAAAACCATACAGAAATAGGGGGTTTAGAATAAAATAGTTTTACCAGTCATTATACCTTTCACCTTTAAGAAGATTTTCCTCACCTTTTGCATCTGCAATCGTTGACATCATTTCTTTTCCCATGTAAATCTTATGTTTTCTCCAAAACTTAAGTAAGTCTCCATAATATTCATCATTTGGTTCTAAATCCATGTCTGCAACATTCAAATTAATGCATTAAATGTATCTTTCTGCATGAGCGTTTTTCTTTTTTTAATTGTTTTCTTTTACTAATTGGAAACTTATGATTCATATGACATAGATAAGTTTAAAATCAAATGAGAAAGAAAGAGAGAGCGACCAAAATACTAAGTTCTAGACATGATGTATGTGTTCTGGTATGTTGGAGACAGTTTATCGTCAAGTATTAATAGTCCATATTCCGAAAGCTTGAGGCTCTCATTTTTGATTACTGTAAATTGACATTAGCTGCAGAGTTTACTTAGAACTTTCTAATTATCAAGACATTTATAGGGTTCCTTACTGATTTCATAACCATTTATTTTTCTGCCTATGTCGCGTCTTCTTAATCTAAACCATTAAGTTCATGTAATTCACCCTGATATTAATTCATTCTGTCTTGAGCATAAACGGAAGTGTCAAAGTTTCGATGGAGGAGTGTTGAGTTTTAAAGACGCTTTAGTTGCATTGTGTCACTGGAGTTAATTTTGAAAGATAGATATGAAAGAAATTAAAAGTCCACCCCCCAAAACGAAGTTCAGTCTTTATGATTAAGAACGCTCAGAACCTCTCGACACGAGTTGAAGGATGGATGTTTTTGTTTGGATAAGTATTCTTTACACGTATCAAAACATGGGTTGTCCATAAGAGAAATCAACATGAGATTGATTCGTCTCGGGGAAACAGAAATCAAGTAGAACATCTTGGTTCTAGTACATTTTACGGGAAGGTTTGAAATGCAACATGAAACTTTACATGTATACCCACAGAGCCATTGATGGAACGAAGTAATTGATTGTTTTAATTTTTTTTTCCCCTAACCTTACATTTATGAAAATTTTAAAGTTGTATGTTTATTTTGATTTGAAGAATATAAAATGAAAGGTAAAATGATTTCAGAAATAAATTAGCAAAAATTAACTCAAAAAGCAAAAGTTTAGCTAGTGAACTCAATATGAACAAGTAGTTCCAGATTGGTATTAAAATCTGACTGAAATTGCAGATAAACCATTCTAATAGTGGTCATTGTGAACCCCTCAACATCAGACCTATTCATTCAAGAGATCATGTAGAGTCAAAGATAAACTTTAAGTTATCACAAAGAAATCCCATAGGCTGCTGTCAAACGAAAATTTACACATAAGATAAGAATCATTTTAACATTGATTTTTCCTGCAATCCACCTTAATCTGTGTGTTTGTTGATATTGCTTTACGACCAGATATACATTTAGACGATAGCCATTTTTTTTACTATTAAGGTAAAGCTTTCTTAAGAAGTTCAGAAGGGTGCCTCATTCAGTCAATGACTTGTGGAGAATAGTAGAATGAAAGGAAATCAGACATGCTTATTGTTTATGGTGTTTTGATGACTGGGTGGACAATTTGGTATTTTACATGCATTAGAGGGACAAGCCATGGTCCTGTTTAATATCAATTGTCCGTCCAATGCAAGTACAAAGGGATTAAAACCAAATCTTCAGGGAGAATCACAAAATTTATGTCGTTCGGGGAAAACACTTAGATTGTTATTCATATCCTACAAAGATCCCAAACAGACTTTTAAAAAAAGTGCACCATTATTTTGTTAGATAATGTCTTTTACATAAATAAGAAAATGAAAGAATGCATTGCTTTGTAATATTGCTCTGCAAAACAAGTGTCAGAGACTAGATCCATTTAAATCCTAGAATCATATTGGCTGTCATTATTCTTAATATTCTTATGGTTATGGAATATGTATAATCCGGTGATCTGCGACAGTTCTAACACGCATCGATATCAATAAAATTTGTCACTAATCCTTTTACGAAACAACACCATGATGCTTCAAATATTTCGGGTACAGAGAAATGAAATACTAAGTTTTTGGTGCATATCTTGTCTAAACAAGTTACTTAGTTCTTAAAAGCAAGAAGAAACTATTTTAATTGTAATTTAAAATTCAGAATTGTAATAATTCAGATTGTTTAGTGTTATATAAAGAATATCATTGCTGCTTTGTAGGTAAAAAAAAGTTGAAAGTTGTTTCAATTAGTTGTTCCTGTTTTATTTAGTTCTTGAAATACAGGTTTTTCTAATTCAGGTCCAAGTTTGAAATTCTTTTGTAATGTACAATTTTTTTCAAAATATTTATTTTTTAGAGTATATATATAAAATCAAGGTTAACCAATGGAAACCAGTAAAGGATTTTGGTATACACATGCAGGAAGAGATTATGTAACTAACTGATATTTATAATTAATAGATCTACTTACCATCCGCCACAGGAAGCTGTCCCTGCTGTACCCTTAATCGACTCATCCTTCTTCTGAGTGCATTATATTCTGTGTCCAGGGCGGAAGTGGACCGCACCAACTGTTGTTTTCCTGTCCTCGACATGTTCCTAAAACCCACCACCTCCGGACATCTATTGTCCAAAGTTCAGACTCAGAAAACTGTCCACTTGATTTGATGCAACTTTTAGGAGAAAGGTTCTCATATGAAACCGCACGTCCTCACCTTTCGGGAACTTTACTGCTAACTGTAAGAAAGAAATCGAACGTGTAGGGCGGATTTGCGTTAGCTATTTGGAACAACTGACCATATCTGTAATTTGCAAACCTAATTTTCCGTTCAATTTGCTGTTTTGAAGATAAGGATTTGGTTTTCGCGAAAACAATGACGACTTTTAACAGACTTTGAGATATAGAATATGAGCATAGTAGAAAAACATTGGCTATTTAAACGACGTTCAATGCAGGTGACCACACATGTTATTTCTACAACTTAATAAGTGATCGGAATGATTTTGAACATTGTTGGATTTTTAAAAGAAAAGATAATATGCTTATTGTTGTTATTCTATTACATAACTTATGAATAATTTTTATCTTAATTATAAACAATATGACATCAGCTTCAGTGTAAAATTCTTATTGAAGTATTTGCCAGTTGCATAATTTGACAATAGATTTATTGGCCTTTTTTCCCTTAATTCTGTAGAATCATAAAATTTTGACCAAATACTACCAAGCTTTACGAAAAGATAGCAATTTATAAAAATTTGGATATGAAGCTCGGTAATCTAAAAGAGAAAAAATGTAATGCTATTTAAATTTGTTTTTAAATAACTTAGATACTATATTTTCAATGATTTGCGGAAAAGGAGTTCTAGTGGCAGGTAATTAAATTATAGCTGGAAAATATTTAATTCTAGTTAGGTAAGTTACATTGAAATCAGAGCAGCACTCAACATTAATTGAAAATCACTAATCGATAAAATTACACTTCTCAGCACTCATAAACGTTTTTAAGTTTTGTTAACTCAATACAGAAATGAAGTGCTTAAGGTTTTCTAAAAGCTACAAAAGAAATAAAATAATACATTTTTTCCTTTATGACTTTTAGAGGTTCTATACTGCAATGTTTACCAAAGATTCTTCACTTACCTTTTGAATTATCCTTTAATGGTGTCTAAGATTAGTAAAATACCCTTCCTTTGATGTTAAGTCCGACTTGAGTCTAAAAGCTTTCGTCTAATAATGACCCTCCTATCGGCGTCCCTTGTTCGCTTGCACTGTTCAGACAAGGCCTTCATCAATCCAATCCTGCTATCGCCGGGGACCACGTCATACATCTATACGTTAGGTTATCTACTATAATGTGGCTACGATAACATTGGCTCTTATATAGGCGAGAAAATGCGTAACGCTATGTACTCCACTCTTTGTTGCTTGCACGTTCTAGTACATAAACAACTCTTATTTATAATGGTATACTGTGGCAAGGACTTTTGAAGATATGGGTAAGAGTTATCAAATTACGGTTAAGGACAATCAATTATAGGTGTGCATAATTTCTAAATAACAAAAAAGTCTTGGCCTAAGTTTTCAAAAAATCTAGATCTGAGAGATATTATTGAATTTCTTGCCAAAATGACGTACTTCAATCCGTAAATGACGTCTTCGCTTTCTCTCGTCTTTAGAATCTTACTTTTTCTTTGTAATAATTCTTCTGATATTCTTCTGAAGGACTTAAAAACAAGGGTGGCAATGAAACAAAACACATTACCCTCAGAAGGTTTCAAATTTAAGGTAATTGTCCGTAAATAATGACATATTTTGCATTTAAGAGGGGAACAATAAACCGTCTGCTTCTTGTCATAAAAAGTATCCTCAAAATTCAATGTTTAATCACTCCAAAAGAATCGCTATATTTTTACTCTTTTAGATTTTGTTTTTATAAATTAGACGTACTGGAGCCTTTATTTTAATAAACTAAGTAGGGCGATAGAAAAATTTTTATTTCAAGAATTTTTTTGCCCCTTTGATGATTTTTTCATTTTTTCCTCTTCTCACTTAGCGGTCAACTATTGTGCTTTCTAAGCAAGACAAAAAAGGCAATCCTATTTCACATATATAAACAGATAAGGGCACAAAAGAAATAAGAAAAGAAATATTTTTTTTTCTCGGGTTTCTTAACAGTCTTTTTTTTTATATGGAAATCCATAGACGATAACCAAGTACAAACTGCTTCAGCCTTATAAGCTGATATATATATATATATATATATATATATATATATATATATATATATATATATATATATATATATATATATATATATATATATATATATATATATAAAACATTTTAAACTAGGTATAAATACTATTTTATGGGTAAATTTTTTGGTTTTCGGAATAAACATTGGTTCATTGAAATTTGACTCGTTGTAGAATGGGAAAGACAACGAATAGTAATCTATCTCATAAAAAAACTTTAAACAATACAAATCTGTGAACAGGCACAAGCACGAAGCCCTAGAAACCCCAGAGGAGGGATCTGGTGCCTAGGAGGATTAAGCATCCCCTGTCGACCGGTCACACCCTCCGTGATCCCTATATATTGATCAAGTAGACGGAACATTCCGTAGTCAAATGTAGTATAAAACAGAGGTCTAACAATTGGTAGGAAACAAGTCAGCCTAAATACGACCCAGTGATAGGTTATATTTGCTTATAGGGTCATTATAACGACCATAGAATTTACGGAATGCTGACTTTTAACGAGGTTGTTGGTATCCCTGTAACATCAACTTATGTGTGAGTAGTCTGCCTTGGTTTAGAAACTGATGGTACAAAGAGCATACTCTTGAGTAGCGAATACCGGTAAGTTTGGAGACATGAACACCATATGCAGAATATCACTACATAAATAAGGATAGTCGACGATGGAAAAGCTGAAGTCATGTCGTTTGTCATACAATTTAGGTGTTAGTTGGCCTTTGTTGTCTATAGTCAGTAAACCATCCAAATATGAATCAGATGTGGCAGACTGTTGTCTTTTATTTCAAGTTCACCGGGATAAATCGAGTCGATATATAAATGGAAATAAGTATTGTTGATTTATAAAACGTCGTCGATAAGCAAAGACATAATTCTGTTGTTTGACACTTTGACTTTTGTTGAAGAAATATATTAGTAGGTTTCTTCATAACACGAAATTTTGAACCCCCTCGAAAATAAGTGATTTCGTTGAAAATTTTAGTACCTGTAGTGTTTCTAATATAAATAAATTTATCAGCTAATGTCATTCATTGCCCTTACTAGAGTTTATCATACGTGAGCCCTGCCCTCTTATGAATGGCTTTCCCTATAGATATAGAAGATTGAGAGATGTATTTAACCCACCCACCCCCATTTTTCTGTCGTTATATTAGTGTGTACCCCCTTCCCCGACAAACCAAAGTCGTTTTGGGTGATTTTGCTTGTCGGGATTTTTTTGGCGTTTTTCCTTCAGAGGAATGCTTCTTTCATCCCCTTCATTTGTGGATCCACACTTTCTTGCTTGTTGTAATATTGTTACCTAAATAGTATTTATTCAAGCATGCTTATTAAATATAATTCAATAGGCAATATCATATTTAAGCAGTGGCATTGTCTATTAGCAGTTGGCAGTAGGTAGTTGACTGTTGTATACTTATAGAATTCCATTTGTTTTTGCTCTCTTGCATGAGCCCAATATTCATAGCGAAAATGTTGAATTTGCAAATCAATTATCTGACAAAAACTGTATTTTTTCTATTAAACCCATCCCATTTCTCTCTTTTTTTTTAAATATGTTTTCAAAATAGAAGAGAGTGCACTTGTTCAGCTGCCTACACAGGAGCTGTGGTTGTACGATAATTCTTCGTCATTACAGCCATTACAAAATGGCCGTCGGTACCTGATCACTCATTTTTGTCTTTTTAACCAATTAACGACACCCGCTTCAATCATGATCAAGCAAGTTAAGCGATTATCTACAATTACTGACTTCATTAAGGATCGATTTAACCAATTTCCCACATACGTGGTACTTCTTTTGCAGTTCTCCTTTGGTTTACACCCTTTGTATTGGCAATTCATACAAAAAAAAACAAACTTGTAAAACAAATCGTGTTTAGAAGTGTCAAAATAGCACATGTCTTGATCTTTATTATAATGATTTCTGTTCTGTTTTACATACAATAGGTATTGTCCTTGTCACCTTTTGTTATCTAGTTCCTGCATGTGTTTGCCTAAATAGCTTTTTACGCCTGATTAGAACAAGACAAGGACGTTGTAGAAATCGACAGGTTTTCACAGCCATTCTTTATCCATGACATGCTTGTTACATTAAAATTGTCTATAGTCATGTGTAAAATATCAATTCCACAGTGGGGAAAAATGATAATTGTATTTCAGATTGCCTTGAAACTTTGTCCTATTGAAAGGTGATAGGACTTCGACGATACTTTTGTTGTTGGCATTTAAAGAAAAAAGGAAATATGTGAAACTAAAAAATAATTGTTTGCAATTTTGAGTTTGCAATATTAAGTATTCATCTATATAAGTGCAAATTTTGCTATTTATGAGCAATACATAATATGCATAAAATATCGATAAAACATCGTTTGTAGATAAGAATTCATGTGTTTGTCGATTTAAAAAGTAATACCTCATTAATCTGTCGTATATCTTGTTCACTTTACTACAGAAACCACTATTTAAAAGTGAACGAAAAGTACATTTCTGTTCACGTATATTTAGTCAATAGATGGAGTGTAATACTGAAATTTAGAAGTACAACAAAAGTTGCTTTCCGATATGTAAAGCTTTATGTTTACAAAGGAAGAATGGTAGTTACATATATTAATATGCTGATATTCAACAATACATGAATATGGACCAAAATCAGTGCTTTCCTGGATACATAAAAAGAGCAAAATTTGGAAGTTGCTTAATTCGCAACGTTCTAGATATCGAACTTTATCATCTAAAAATCCATACAACTAAGTGCTTCAAGTTAGTTTTTAAAATTCATTTCAGTGCGAGGACATTTTACAGGTTTGATATTTCTAAGTGACCACATTAGCATCTATAATTACTCTACTTTCATGTAGAGGAGCATCTTATCCCCTCTATTCTCTATTACATAGGATAAATACATTTATATTTATTATATATATAATAGTATAATAATATAATCTATGTTTCATCATAGATAGCTTAAGTCAACATTCACGGTGACAATTACTGAAAAACTTTCATTTATAAACTGTGTGATCTTGATTCGGGGCATTCAATTTCTAAGTATTTATATGTTGATAAGTTATTCCAGCTGACTCGACAGGCAAGAGAATGTTCTTAATTTCTTAAACGATGCAGGCTACTGACAAATAAGTTGATGATTCTAGTCAACAATCCCGTTTAAAGCCAACATTAATAAATTCTATGATTGATACACTGAATTTGTTTGCAAATACAATCTGTCGTTAAGTCGATGGCAAGGAGCATACGTCGGCTGTGACCGGTCGACAGGAGATGCTTAGTTTTCCGTGGCACCTTTTCCCACCTGTTTTCAGAGGTCCGCGTTGGCTCTGTTCATAATTTGTATTGTGAAATGGACTTTTGAAAATGATCACTAGACGTTATATCTTCACATTGAGTATCTTTTTTATTACTTTTTTTAGATATAAACTGTAAATGTGTTTTGATATGGAATAGTAACCTGTCTAAGTCTGCACTCAGAATAATTTCCTTCTGCAGTTTTAAGTTAATTTTTTGCAAGACAGAAGAAAAGGTAAGAAAAAATTCTTTTTCTTTGTCCTTCTGTACAAAGAGAATGCTCACTTTATAACATAAAATCGGACTAGACTTTTTTTTATATTTTTCTCTTTTCAATGTTGCTAAGGGTATGACCTTGGATCAAAATAAGAGCATCTTTCTCTAATAATATGCAATGCTTATCAACAATAAAAAGGATTAATTCAAATCATTTAAATTGACTATTACAAATTATAGTTTACAATATTACAATACTAAATTTTTGTCTTAAAGAAATTTGAATCATTTTTTCACCATTTCATTGTCCAGTGACCTTGACCTTTAAGATGTGATCTTGGGTTAAGGCGAGGGCACTAATGTAGAGGTACAGTAACCAAATTCATTCCAGTTAGGGGTTCAAAAG